AGTGACCATCGTCGTCCTATACTCTTCATTATCACCTTCCTCCGCTAACTCGAAAAGAAAAAAAGAAGAAGAAGAAGAGCTGGGCCTTTACCGTAAACAAAAGTTGAATAATAGAAAAAGCCTCCTTCTTCCATTGTCAAGAACATAGACAGTGTATTTCAAGTGTACTTCAAATGGATCTTTCCTTTAGCCGTTGGGTTGCAAAATCTGAAAGTTTGAGAACAAGGGCAAGAGTTTTGAGAAAGTAAGCTAGAGTTTTGTTTAGGGTTAAGAAAGGAGATTCTGTTTCATTTATTCAAAAAACATGTGAACTGTAGAAAAAACGGTTGTGGAACAGTGGGTGTAAACGGCTGTGATATAAATGAACAGTAATATAAACCCCCTCTTTTAAGAGGTAGTAGAAATAGTATTAATTACATATATCTTAAATGTGAAAGACTATAAAATATATGAGGGGAAACAACTTGAAGTTGATAATAAGGGAATCTGAAATTGAGTTTCCATAAAATCCATAATTATACTAATTTTATTTTTTTTTTGACGAAGTTGAACATTGTAATAATTGGCATAAGAGTACATTTTAACTGATGGAAGAATATTTATGTGACAATGTGAAACTCTTAAGGGTAAATATATTCTAAAAATAGAGAAATTACTTTTTATTTTGAAATTTTACTAAAGTAAATTAGTTATCGATCTGGCAAACTATTAAACTAACACTAAAAAATTTGAATCATACCTTTGGCAAACGCAGGTTGTAATTGAAGCTGTCATTAGTGATTCCATTGTACACATATAGCAAAGAATTAAAAAGAACTTTTCATTCCCGATAATGAAACCTGTGAAATTTTTTTATAGCAAATGCAAAGAATGAAAAAAATAGTAACGACATAATTTTTCATGTATTTAAAATTGAGGAAACTATTGTACGAGAACATATTATAAAAATTTCTCGAAAATAAAAAATATACCTGTTCAAACATTTTAGGTATATGAATGTATAAACGAAAGAATTTCCTTGTACACAACATTTTTAGTACATGTATTATGTGAGTTGTCCATGCTTGAAGGTTTCAATAAAACTTTTAGAGATGTGCTCGTTGTTGCTCTTGATAATGCTACATATAGCTGACCATGGCAGAAAACTGGTTCTGGAAGATATAGACCGACAAAATCAAGTGTTTGACCTTGTGCTTTATTTATTGTTATTGCAAAACACGGTCTAATTGGAAATTGAGTTCTCTTAAATTGAATTGAGTTTCGATCACTTTGAAGAGGTATAAAAGGGATCCTTGGTAAGAAAACATATTTCCCACAATACTCACCAGTTGTAATTTCAGCAAGAATTACGTTTTTCTCAAATTTTCGACAAGTAAGGCGTGTTCCATTGCATAATCCTTCGGAAGGATTAATATTCCGTAGTAACATTACAGGACAATTTACCTTAAGTTTCAATTCATGCGGTGAAATACCATTTGGTGTCAAAGTATTCAAGAAATCTTCGTGCAAGCTTTGTTCCGATTTGTCAATTGCTTCATCAAAACTATAGTATGTGGAAAAATACCAGGAATTTGTTCGAGTAAAATCTTGTTAATATAATCAACACATTCATTCGTAGGTGTAAGAATAACTCTATTTATCATATTATGTAAATTGTCAACATATGCCTGTATATTTGGAAAAACATGATGTATCAAAATTTTTAAAGATGTGATTTCATCTTCAAATGGTTGAATTATACTATTCGGAAGCATAATGCACTTACAAGTATGTTCTTCTTCTGTTCCATTTCCAATTCTGAGTAAGTAAGTACAGAACATAGGATCTGATTTTGCCCTCATATTCTCAACCAATGGTAAACGTAAATAGGACGGCCATAGGTCTGAAAAGACCAAGCTAGCTTTCATTACATCATCTTTTTTCCCTCTCGGTACCACTGGAAGAACTTGTCGAAAATCTCCTCCAAAAACTATCACTTTCCCACCGAAAGGCAAGTTAGAATCAGTAATATCTCTAAGCATTCTGTCTACAGCTTCAATAGTGCAACGATTTACCATAGGCGCTTCATCCCAAATTATTAACCTACACATTTGCAACATTATTCCTGAAGCTGATTGATTGCTAACAGAACAATTCACTTCATCAATTGTTTCTAAAGGAATTTTAAATCTTGAATGAGCTGTGCGACCTCCAGGTAACAAAGACGCGGCGACTCCAGAGGACGCTGTTGCCAAAGCAATGAAATGTTGACCTCTTACAGCAGTTAGAAGTGCTTTGTATAAAAAAGTCTTCCCCGTTCCCCTTGGACCATCAATGAAGAAAGTACCACTTGAGTCATTTTTTACTTTTTCCATAACTTTATCATATGCAAATCATTGTTCTTTATTGAATTTCTCTACACAATTAAAGTCTCGTTGAATGTTAAAATTCATTGTTTCCTCAGCAATCACTCTTGCCAATCTTTGAGTCTCATCTATATTTACAAAGAATGAAACTATTCCATAATCATTTACATTTTTTCCTAACGATTCTAATATAGAATTGATGTCTTCCAAAGCTTGAATTTCAGCATCTTTAACACATATGTTTCGGTGTACATAATCATCAATCATATAGGCTTTATATCTATCCCACAATAACTTTGGATGATTAGGGTTGCAAAGTGTAAGAAGTGTAGCAAAAAGACGTCTTAAAGAACTGGGCATTTTGTAAATAATGGCTTCAGATAGACATTCTTCACAATGGTTGTCTCCTTTTAACAAATCATGTAAAAGTGCTGCTTCTCGATATGTATTGACTATTACTCCATTTAAAGTTTTAAAACTGTCATATGATGTTGGACCATTAATATGATTCAGAAGAATACGAAGGAAATATCGTTCTCCTTCGGATGGATTAACTGTCACGATTCGCCCTATAACAATGTGTTGTTTTCTAGGAGTCCAAGTTTTTCCAGTTGCCTTCGACACAAAATGTGTTGGAAAATCTCGATGCAATAGCGTTTGAGCAAATTCATTTACTTCATTCATCCGAAAAAATTCAGTTAGCATTGTTCTTCTCGTATACTCATTTCCAATAATAACAGATAAATCATCTTTACCATTATAAGTTACGTGCTGATGATCTTTAATATGAAGTTGTAAAGCGTAAACAGTAGTATAAATTTCTGACAAATTAAAAGAAAAAATTCTCCACATAGCTTCAGGTGGAGATATCCATCTAGCTGATTGATAAGCAAAAATTTCATCAATTTCCTTAGCTATTTCATTTCTGCCTACGAAAAAATTAATACGATCATGTCCTTTATACACATATTTGTACAAATATTTTACTGCTTTAATAGAAGAACATACTTCAACGTTAATATGACAGTCAAATTTTGAACTTAAATAAGGATTATATGGTACAACCCACCGATTATCTAACATTTGGCCTCTTACTTTAATAGAAATACCATTATCACGACGTCTATACAAGGGATATGAATTATCACCAAATATAGTACTGTTACAATAATCCTTAGGATATTTATTTTTACAACCACTACTTGCCAACATACATATATTTTTTGGATTAAGATTTCCACAAGGGCCATGCATATTGTGTTTCGCAATTACAGAATGAAGATGCAAGTATTTATTCTTATCGGGAATTTCACATGACACTATCATATCAACTTGTTCAGCACAACAAATTTTATGGGCAGAATTGAAAATCAACAATAAATGGGTATGAGGGAGCCCTCGTTTTTGAAATTCAATCATGTATATATGAGCAACAACTGAACCAAAAATATTTTCTTTGTATAAATCGTTCTTTAACTCTTCCAATTTTGCTCTAAATATACGTGCAATTAAATCTGGTCGATTTTGAACTTCGTCATTGTGTTTGAGTTCTTGCATAATTTCTAGCCAATTTGGATTACATGTTATAGTTAGAAATATATCTGGTTTTCCATAACGTTGGACGATAGCCATTGCATCTAAATATAATTTAAGCATATCTCTAGGCCCACATGTGAAAGTTTGTGGTAGAACAATCTTCTTTCCAATTTTTGACCCTCTTGTTTCCCCATTTTGAACACTATCCACAATACCTTGATAAAGTTCAGCACGAATTTGTTTCTAATTGCTACGAAAATAGTCTAATCTGGCAGTTTCAATTTTAACATACATATCTACAACATATTGTTGAAAAAGTCTACCAGTATGAAGCAACACAGACTTACTAGAAGGCCTAATTTGTAACTTGTAAGAATAGTACTCGCGGCAAGAAACCTGTGATCGTTTCCTCATTCCATTGAATACTGCATAAGGATAAAAAAAATGCATCTTACACCCATTTGGAACATTTAATTTATATGAATTAGTAAACATATGAAAAAGTTTAATAGCAAACCTTGAGTCTCTTTTGCAAAGATTTCAGTTGCAAAATTTACTGTGCTAGGAAAAGCTACGCAATCGGGTAAATTCTGAGTTTCAAAATATGTTTTTTTGTATCTCTGAATACCTTCATGCCAACCAGGTTCTCCAAATGGGAAAAGTAAAGGGTATTGCAAAGGATCATAACAACCATAATAATAGTGAACCTTATGTGAATCACCAGAATGACCATATATAGTAATATCACGAACACAAATATTTGCATTGTCATCATCCTCAACCCATACAGTGGCTACTTGAGATGCTGAAGGAGTATTGAAGACTCTTTGATCAAGTCCAGGATCGCATCTTATTTGTATTCGATGGTCGTGCAAATTGGTCATATTACTTAAAGACCTAAAGAATCTACTATACGAATTTACTTTCAAGATTTCAATCAAAATGATCAAAGTAGATTCAACAAAATTTTCTGAAATTTTCGTACAATTTTCAACTTCGTTATTCGTATCATAAAAATATAATTGCATATAAGAAGGCTGATTATTTTTCGGCAGAAGTTGATTTACATAATGATATACTTGTCCCTGAATTCTGAATGTGTAAATACCTTTATATGCTCTAAAAAGGTCTGTATCGCACTTTACACCAAATGAAGTGAATGCAAAATGGTTATTATATCCACATGAAATTTTCTTAAACTCCATGTATTCAGGTTCTTTAGAAGTAAATAAATTATACAATTCAGTTGGTGAATCAGGCATATAAAGTTTAACTTTTCCATCAGAGCAACAGAACCCTTTAGTTTCTCTATAAAATTTTCGCGCACCACAATGTTCACAGTAGTTCCATGTCGGTAATACATATACATTAGTAGGTATGTTTAATAGGTTAGAAATCCCTCATACTTTAGAATGAACAATATTAGTACGTGCTTGATTTGAAGTAGAAGCCTGAAAATTAGGATGCAACGTGGAATTATTTATTCTTTTACGATGATCAACGCGTGGACTTTGAATTCGATTCCTCCTATTTGCCTGTCTTTGGTTTTGTTGTTGGCGAATAAAAGCAGTATACGATTCAGTTGCATTTTGAGAAGTACTATCAATGTTCGAAGAATCCATGGGGAAAAGATCTTCACCTCTAGTTTGACGAAAGCAAAGAATTCTCATTTTGGTGAATGAAATAATTAAAAAATTAATAATACTACTAAGTTTCCACAATAGGAAAAATATTCGATAGACACAAGTGAACCAAACTCTCACAACAAATAGGAAAAATATTCGATAGACACAAGTGAACCAGACTCTCACAACATTAAAAACATGCATAAAGCTAAGGTTTAATAAAAAAATTGTTTACTTCAAAGCAATAGCAATAAATATAAACATTGTTGACTGAACTATTGATGAAATAAAATTTTAATAAGACTTATATGATGTAAAAGCAGGAATAAAAGATTAACATTTTTATATGATTCTTGTAAAATTAATAGTTTTTTTTTAAAAAAAACATAAATACTATTGTAATGTTGTAAAAGTTTTTGCTATACTACTACCGAAGAGTAAGAAAATAAAGACTTCTAAAAAGAAAATATTTTTCATCTATAAATTTAGTGGTTTTGCTTCCACCCAATCAACCTACATATGCAATCTATTTCTAAAGTTATAATGTAAGTAATTTATCAACAATCATAAACTTAATAAATTCATAAGTGGACGACTGGAAATGCACAAAAGAATTCGGGCAGCAAGTAATAAAAGATTTCCATCTATGAATTTCTGCCTTAATAAGCTCTAACAAAGTATCTTTTTCAATGAAAAAGTATGGTACTCTAGCTTCTCTCTTGGAACATTCGAAATTCTAATTCAAAGCAACCTACAGAATAAATTTCCCTATAAATACACTTCCATTATAACTATTTAACTTAGACAAGACTTCTATCCACCACGGTCATCTATCAATTTATAAAAAATCAAGGCATGGCACTAAATCCTACACGGCGCCTTCAATTCAAATTTTATTCATCTTTAAAGTTAATATAAATCTACATGTCCCCAACACATATATTTTAAAGAATTTTTAAAGTTCATACAAAGTTAGGCGTTTTCAACTTAAATAATTTTCATATTAGATAAGAATAAGAAAAAAATATCTCTAGTCTACATACTAAAGGAAGAAACTGGTTACGTGTGAAATTGTGCCAAACATAAACAATAACTTGGACAATCTCCTCTCTTATAGTAAAGGCAGATACTATTTTATTATTATATACTAATTAAATAAAATATATTCTATACGAAGAAAAGTAATCCCCTCTCCTCACACAAGTAAACATGTATGTATGTAAATGTGTATGTACACATCTATATAATTTTCACCCTCTATTAACATTTTTTTTTGCGTCCAATGCAATTTCATTTTCTTCTACAGTGAATGAAAAATGGAGTGAAATAGTGATTTGAAATTGTTGAAGTTGGCTATGAATGATGATAGTTGATTCCTCACCAGCTTCGAAACGGCGAAAATTCATGACCTTCAACCTCATGAACCATGAATATGTAAACGTAGATATATTTTCATGCATGTACAGAAACTAGAACATACCTTATATGGAGCTAAAGGAAGACGAACCCAACTAGATTTTCATCTACAAACAAAGGAAAACTACGTACCTTAACTAAATAGTAAGAAAATAAAAAGAAATACACAAAAAAGAAAAATTATAAGAAGAACATACCCAAAATAATTGTTGCAACTTCTAGAATTTTCTTCTCCACTATTGATGACGAGAAAATACGAATTAGGCTAAAGGCAAAAGCGAATAATGGTAGAAGGATGACCTTTTTTTTCAGAGAAAAAAAGATTTTGGTGAGAATTCGTTCTGCAAAACAATGGCTAGAATTTAGAAAGAGAAGGATTGAATTGATAGAAGAGTATTGTGCAAAATTTATGTGGTAAGAAAAAAAAATAAACAGCACACGACATTTTACTTCAAATATGGGTCCCATTCATTAATGTTTGGACAACTATATTTTTTAATTCCCATATCACCCTTAACATTAATATAGGTATGGAAAGTAGTGTGTAGTTAGAAAGTGAAGGGTAATTGTGCCAAATTGTTTATTAAATAGAGGGTATAATGTTACTTTTGATATCTCAATTATGTGGGAAAAAGGATAATCATCTAATAACTTTTCTATATACCTCGGGAATGCACGTTTTCAGATTTCAAGAAGTCAAAAAAATCAACTACACTTCAATAAGTCAAAAAAATCAACTACATTAATTATTCCTCACGAGAGGAGGTGGATGTGAGACAATACAAAAGCAAGAAGACGCGGACTATGCGGTCTCAAAAAGAAAATGTGGCTCATTTTGGGGACCAACCAACTGTAGCAAAACCAGATATGTAAATCGAGCAAGTGTGAAAACCAGTGTGACATGAATGAATAGTAAAGAAAGCCTCTCTTTTAAGAGAGTAAAGATTTCATGAATTATGTAAATTGTTTATTTAAGTAAAATAATTAATTGCTTTTCATTTCATCTTATTTAAAATAAATATAATTTAAATAAATATAATAAACAATTAAATATTCAATAAAAAAATTAAAATAAATAAGAAATTAATAAAAACGATTAAATGAACTAAATAAATATGAAATAAACAATTAAAATAAGTAATTAAAATAAATAATTATATAGAGTAATTAAATATTAAACAAACAATATACATAACCAATTAAAATAATTAACGAAATATTTAAATAAAAAATTAAATTAAATATTAAATAAATAATTTAATAAATCAATATTTAATTTAATTGTTTATTTCAATATTTAAGTAATTACTTTAATTGTTTATGTATATTATTTGTTTAATATATAATTATTTATTTTATACTTTATTTTTTTTATAAATATTTCATGAATTATGTTAATTATTTATGTATATTGTTTATTCAAGTAAATAATAAATAACTAATTGAAATAAATTAAATAAATATTAATAAAAAATTAATTGAAATAATAAATAACTAATTGAAATAAATTCAATAAACAAGTAAATTAAATATTAATTAAGTAATAAAATTAATTAATTAATACTAATAACAAATAAATATAAATAATTAAAAATAGTTTAAATAAGTAATTAAATGTTAAATAAACAATTCAAACAAACGATTGAAATAAATAATTAGCATTTAAATATTAAAGAAATAATTTAAATGAACAATAGATATGAATAATAAGAAATAAATAATTAAATATTAAATAAAAAATTTAAATAAGCAATTGAAATAGATAATTGACATTTGAGTATTAAATAAATAATTTAAATGAACTACAAATATAAATAACAAAAATAAGTAATTAAATATTAAATAAAAAACTGAAATAAATAAATTACATTTAAAACAAACAATTAAACATTCAATTAACAATTAAAATAAATATTAGATAAACAATTAAACAATTAAAATAAATAATTTAAATACACATTTAAATATGGAGGAGAGGGTCAAAGTCATATCTGAGGAGATACATCCTGCAAGCGATGGGGTCCCAAACAATGACAGAGAGGGTGACGGAAATAGTGACAAGGAGGGTGGCGGTGGAGGGGTGGAGATGTACACAAATGTTTCATTAGAATCGTTATGGATGGGAGAGGTGTAGGTGGAGGGGACGAAATAATTGTAATAATTGTATTTATGAAATCACTGTATATTTTTTATTTATGAAATAATTGTATATATTCTAAAATTTGCTTAAATAAGGTAATGAAATATTAAATGCATAATATACACAACCAATTAAGATAATTTATAAATGAAATATCTAAATAAAAAATTAAATTACATATTAATTTTTTATTTAATTAAGTGATTAAATAAATAATTAAACAAGGTAATTAAATATTAAATAAATAATATACATAACTATGCCGGAAAGGACTCCCAAGTTGATAGATAATGTCGCGAGTTTGGATGACATGACAATTATGCTGAAGAGGGCAATGGAAATGACACTCTATAAGAAACATGTTATTGACTTGTCAGACCAGATGGTTAACAAGAGGACTAGATTGCCGTCACAACACATTGTTTCTCCGTACACGATCGAGGAAAAAAGAGAACATCCGTCGGCGGTACATTGCCCAACCTCTTCCGTGAAATCAACCGGGGCAATTATGGAGTCTTCGCATTGAAGTACATTGAATTTTTTGCATCGGACATGGCCTAGAGCTAATAAACCAACACACATTAAAATATAAGTATTTTTTTTTTAAATGCAAGTGTTCTTTTATCTAAGTACTTTTATTTTAAATGTAAGTGTTCTTTTTATGTACGTTAATTCTGTAGTTGTAATAATTTATAATATAAGCATTTTTTTTTAAAATGTTTGTAATACTTTAGTTTTTATGTAATTGTATAATAAATAACTAATTACTCTTAATTACATATATAACACATTGTAAATAAAGAAAATTGAGGAAATCGGTAACATACTATAAATAGAGAGTACATACGATTTAAGTAGATACTACATACTTGTCGGGTAAATTTTCAAGTAATCAATAACACACTATAAATAGAAAAAATTTAAAAAATCCATAATATACTATAAATAGAGAGTACATATGATTTAAATAGATATTACACATCTATTGGTAGAGACTAACATACTATAATTGAAACCTTCACACTCGGCTTTATTTGGTAGATGAAATATATAGTTTCGACATTCTTGGATAATGTTCGATGTCTTGAAAATGTGACCATGCCTAATGTTTGACTCCCATCTCTATTAGATATTCTCATGCACCGTGTGATTTATGTTCTAATTAAATATTGAATAAATAATATACATAACCAATTAAGATAATTAATTAATAAGATATTTAAAGAATAAATTAAATTAAATATTAATTTTCTATTCAAATAAGTGATTAAATAAAGTAATGAAATATTAAATAAACAATATATATAACCAATTAAGATAATTAATTGATGAAATATTTAAAGAAAAAATTAAATTAAATATTAATTTTTTATTTCAATAAGTCTTTAATATAAAGTAATTAAATATACATAATCAATTGAGGTAATTATAAAGAGATATTCAAATGAGAAATCAAATTAAATATTGGATAATTCTACATGTACTAATTCATAAGAATGTTCACAATGTACATACGAAATTTCATGAGTGGAGTATCGAAAAAATTGTTTTTCAACTCTCCAATTATGTAATGCCACTTGTATATTATGGTATAATGTTTTTATTTAAATAAGTAATCAAAATAAATATTTAAATATTAATTACTAATAATATACATAACCAATTAAGAAAAGTAATTGATGAAACATCTAAATAAGAAATTAAATTAAATATTAATTTTTTATTTAATAAGTGATTAAATAAATAATTAAACAAAGTAATTAAATATTAAATAAATAATATACACAACTAATTAAGACAATTGACTAAAGAAATATTTAAATAAGAATTTAAAATAAATATTATTTTTTATTTAAATAAGTGATTTAATATTAATTTTTGTGAATATTTTAAGAAGAATTAAATTAAATATTAATTTTTTATTGAAGTAAGTGTTTTAAAAAATAATTAAATAAAGTAGTTAAATATAAAGTGAAAAGTGTTTGTTTTTTAATTTGTAACTTAAGGGCATTTTTGTCTTTTTAAACAAAATTCTATCATTTTAATTATATGAACCGCTTAAGGATATTTTGTCTTTTATTAAAGAGAAGGCCATTTTGATAATTGACAAACTTTTTGATTAAAATATAAAAAAAAAATGGCATTTTAACTTGACCCTTCTTAAAAGTACCTCATAACTATCATCACAATTGGCTATCCAAAGCTATGATCATCTAGCCAAACTGCCAAACCAATAATCCCACTAAAAGTCAATGTTTCCTCCCTCCCCCCCCCCCCCCCCCCTCCTTCCTTGCATTTTTTTCTCTAGTTCAAAATTCTACGACAACGAATAGTTCGAGTGAATGGTGCTAACAAAAATACAAGTGAAGAGCTTAATTAATTTTTCATCACCTATTAGATGCATATTTTAAAGGGAAACAGCAAGAATAAATCAAAACCAATAATAAATATGTAGCCCCTGTTTGGTGCATCAAAGAATCAAAATTTTAGTTGATTTTAACAATAGCCGATGAAAAGTGTAATTTAAAAGTTGATAAAAATGTGTTTCCCATAAAAATATGTAGTTAAAATTGATTGTAACTTTGACTTAGTTTTTTCTCAAATTTTTAAACCCTACCACATAGGGGCTTAGTTTTTGAGAGTCAAAGCTTCTTGAATTAGTTTTGTGCCAACTTTTGTTAGGGCATATTCAAGAAACCCTCTAAATACAAAATGGTATTTATTTTAAAAAGCTAATACTTAAATAAATAAATTATATGTTTGGCTATCCAAATTTAGAAAATCAAAATGACTCTCAATTCTTGGTCGATTATAATCATTATTCCGAAACTCTTTAATTCACACTCATTTTTAACACACATTTACACAACAAAATATTTTGTATATAAACTCAAAAACTCTCTCTACTTTTTAGCCAAACATTGTCTAAAAAATTACTATTCAAAATATTGTTTTCTCAAAATAATGACTATCAACATAAGTTTAATGTACAATAATTGCATTTAATACGCCATAGATTTCAATACTATATTTCTTAAACTATTCAAACCAAATTTAAATTGATTAGTCATTGAAATATAAAACATTAAGTTAAATAAAAATATGAGGAGAATTTAATAAATATTTCTTGAGAAAAGTAAATGTAAAGTGCATAAAAATTTTGATTCTTTAAATTTAAAGATGCTCCCT